AGACATATCTTAGAATACCTGATGATGAACCTGCAATAAAGTCTTTTTTTTTGCAAACTTGGAAACTGTGTAATAGAAAACAAACTGGTCGATGGAAACCTGCCCAGCAAAGTTAGATCAGTAAAAAAGTTTCTTTGCTCCCTGTATCTCAAATGTGCAAGTGATATCCTGCATACAAGATGGGAACGCTTCAGATTGAAGAACCAGGAAGGCAAAAAATTACCACCGACGAGAGCTGCACTACTGCCGCATATTTAAACAGTTAACTACATCTGTGCCCGTCACAGCTAAACAAGATCTCCAATCAAGAGAGAATCTTGGATGGGATAAAATTGGTGATTCATTCCAGCCACAACATCATTAAATCTTCCCGCACCAGAAGCAGTCTTGGAACTGGTTGAATGTGGGTGCAAAACAAATTGCACAAAAACTAGTTGTTCCTTCAAAAACAACAATGTCGTATGCACGCCTTTTTGTAAGTGCTATGACTGTGAAAACACTGTAGATTATAGTATTGTTGATGAAACAGACGAAAATGAGCTGGATGATACAAAAGACGTTGAATAGAAGTAAACAATGAGAATAATCTTCCTGAACTACTGTAATACCATTTCATTGGATTTTCCTTTATGTTATAGAATAATGATACTCGTTTACTACACTTCCAGTTAAACTCCCTCATCTCTTGTTTGTATTCTTTAATTGTCGCCGTTCTCTTTGCAGTGCGCATTGTGCAGCCGCATTAAGGTATATCCTGAGGTGGAACATACTGCCTAACAGGGTGCCTGTGTGTACCCAGATGTAACAAAGATGGTGTTTCTACATTGGTGGTGGTTAAACTCATCCTGGACACCTAATTGTGTGCTCTATAAGCTTTAGTATCATGCATATATTTATATATTTTAAACTTCTATAAGCTTTAGTATCATGCATATATTTATATATTTTAAACTTACCCCTCAAGAATGAATGGAGTCGCCCATACATTCCCTGCGTGTATTATTGTTTATACTGTACAGGCAAGTTTAAATCACATGTATATGTATTTGTGTACATTTTATTGTTCATTTGGTGATAGACAGCCTTTCTGTATGGTTTGTGATTTCTTCCTGAATTTATTTATATTGATTTATTTAAACATACCCCTTGAGCACAAAATGGATTCGCCCATAAACTACCTGTGTGTAATTGGCTATGTAGGCACAGGGTTGAGGCCTGCACTGTAATTTATATTGTAATTTATACCATGATAATTGAAATAACTGTTTTCCAGGAAGATTTTGTTGGAAACAGTCGGCCATCTTGAAATTCAAAATAGCCGCCATCTATGGTCTATGACAATATTAAAATCAAATAGGTTGACATTGAAAACATAGGGTTAACACTTGAAATTATGTCAATATCTGCTTTAATAATAGAGTTGTGGTCATTTTTATGGTTAAAATGGCAGCCATTTTGAAATTCCAATATGGCCGCCAATACGATATTGAAAAAAGTGGACCCTTGCATTTTTGGATTCAGCATACCCAAAATATTCAGAAAGTGCAATAAAATTGCTTTGGGCAAGCCTATCTCGCAAACCTGTTTTTTTGGACACTATAGGTTTCTCACTATAATAGAAATACATGTATTCCGGAAAATTTGAGACCAAAAGCAACTGGTTGGCACAAATATTCACAGAGTTACGGATTTTTCCAGATTTTTGCAAAATTTTACCAAATCTTTTTTGAAGTTAAATCAAATATATTTAATCTATTATAATCTATTAAATTATAAAATAATTTTTTTTTACAATTCAACAATAGCTATTGTTTGCCACCATTGAATAAGTGAAAACATTTGATGGCTTGGATAACAAGAAAATTATAAATTTTGGTAATAAATTTTTTTCTGATGATTTTTGGAAAAAAACTTGCATTACAACGAATAGAAATATAGGTCTTCCTGACATTTTGGTACCAAAATCAACTCTGTATGACCACCGGTAACTGAAATACAGAGTATTGTTATTTTTTCCCAAAAATGGATGATTTTGCCTAAAAGCGGCCATTTGGGACCCGGGGACTCAAATTCATGAATGCTACATGGCCAAAATGGATGACCAAGGGTATCAGGAACATGAAAAAATAGGTCTATATAAATCACAGAGTATGTTCACATAAACCATATTCAGCTGCTGGACTACAGTATTAGGTTTAACATTAAATTTCTTCATTCTACGGACAAAATACATTCTTTTGTTACATTTTGAGTTTGGTGTATTAGTGTTACAGTTCCAGTAGTGCCAAGATATTTGTGTTCACTAACAGTTTCTACTTATATTTTGATATGAGTTTGCATCAGAAAGTGATGTTTTGCCCTAATTATTGTGTTATCGTACTGAATACTTAGTGTGTTCCCAAAAACTTGCGAAAAAAATCGCAAGTACTGTAATTTGGGTGGGAATCGAAATAGCATTTGCAGTACACTCTGCTACTCGGGGATCTGATTCATCACTAATCACTAAGCGCAAGCTCGGTAGTCTAGTGGTTATGGCACCAGGCTAGTTACTTGCTCGAATCACTTGCGATTTTTTTTCACAAGTATTTGGGAACATACTGAGTATTCGGTATGATAACACATCAAGTAAGGAAAACATCACTCATATAATATTTTCCTGATGCAAACTCATATCGATAAAGCATGTGCAGTACCTGCTGCTACTTGGGGATTGGATTCAACACTAGTCACTAAACGCAAGCTTGGTAGTCTAGTAGTCGCAAGTCGAATGGCCGAGCGGTTAGCAGGGGCGCCGCAAGCTATAGCCATAATATCGGCGCTGGTTCGAACGGCACTCTCGTCTATGGTTCTGGTGGTAGAACAAGTCTTCTCGGATAAGGACTATAAACCGTAGGCCCAGTGTATACAATGGCTCGTGTGCACTATAAAGAACCCAGTACATCCTTCGAGACGAGTAGGGGGGATACCCCGGTGTACTGGAACAGACAGCCCCTGTGGTGGACGACGAGAGTTGCTGGTACTGGGTTACCGGGTAGCACAGACACGAAATGGCCCTTAGGGGCAAAGAAAGTCATTGATTGAGTTCCTAGTCCACATATCAAGCGCCCTGAGCATCTTACATTAGATGGATATGTGCGCTACATAAAACTACACTATTATTATTATTATTAGTGGTTCACAAGGCTATTTATCTGGAGGTTGTGGGTTCAATTCCCACCCAAATCATTTGCGATTTTTTTTTGCAGCATTTGGGAACGTATCGAGTATTTGCTACGATAACATCAAAACATCACTCATATAATTTCCATTTCTTTCAATGACTTGTGTCCTATCATGGAGAAAATCAGCTACCTACAAATTTATCACAAGAATAACATTCATAGATTTAAGTTTGTTAGTTAACACATGTGACTAGATTGTGTTGAACGCTGAAGAAAAATATAGAAAAGGTAGTGTAGCATGATGCTCAATTACCCTGCGAGTAAGTGAGTAGGCAAACTGATCTTGTTTAAGGGGTAATCCATAATTTTCAACATTTTCAAAAGAGTACAAATCATACTCTTTTCTGTAACCCCCTCACTCCCCCTGAAAGAGTATGCAAAAAAAATGTTGATTTGTGTCATTTTGAGATCAAAATTTTATCTTTTTCATAAAAGAGTACTTATGCCTACACTTTCAAACCTCCTGCCCCCCCCCCCACAAAGCGTATGTTTTGTAATCTTTTGAAAATGTTAATAATTATGGATGGCCCATAAAATGTCTTTAGTTTCAGAGGTTAACCTGGATTTAACCCTCTTTTTACACTTCATAGGAAAAGCTGTCAGCGCAATTGGTCTTAACATAGTAGGGTTAGTTTTTTTAGGAATGTGAATAAATTTTAATGACTATCAAGTGAGCATTGAAAGAAATATTTATAAATTGCACTAAGTTCTTTCTTAAAAACATATTAGGTTTAACATTTCTCAAGATACTTTCAACTTCATTTAAATCAATTAATATTCTATATCTATTTTTAACATCATTGCATAATAAATAAAATTTCATAGCATCTCCTGTTGCACTAAAATTTGAGATGATGATACTTGTGCATCGCTCCATCTCAGCTTAGAGACAGGCCATTGTAATACATAGGATTAGAACAATTTTAGACAAGTTCTTTGTATTATTATTACTATATCCTTGTATTCATATATACTGACTACATAGATTCCATGCATTTGACTGGTTAAAAGCCAAGCCATAGTTCCAGTCATGCCCTCTAATGACTACAATCTATGTACATTAGTGGTATGTAAATATTTACTGGGTTTTAATCGGGTCATAGTTCAAAATATAGCCCTTGGTGATCTGGAGGCTGTACTATGTCCGGAGACGATGCTTGAGCGTCATGCAATGTGCCCACTCTTGTTAGTAATAATTTTAACTTGGTTTAACATGTTATCATATCGAGTTGGAGTCGAGTAAAACTGAGACGGCCCGAGCAGAGTTTCAAGCAGGTAGGTAGGCATATTATCCAACAAATCTCATGATAGCATACACAGTTTCCTTCATTGTTATCGGTTCACAAACATGCCTAGTAGTAAGCCTAATCATTTAATATACAGTACTGCTGGCTAAACTGCATAGTTATTATGAATATTTCCTGGTATTTTTTTATTCTCCGATGTTCTATCCCTTCTTCATCTAGTAGGTCTACAATTATTTCTTCTTTGCCTCTCTGGGCCATTTGATATTATTTTTATATGAATAAAAGGAAAGTATAATGTTCTAGGACCTTTCTAATCCTAAGCATTACTGTACAATCACACGATGCACCTGCTGCGTCATCACAAATTTGTTTGAGAGTGTGACTATTTTAACAAATGCGCAAATGATTCGTATTTCAAAAATTGGAAATTTTGTACCTGATTATGCTAAATCAGTTCTCAAATTATATAAAATTGGTAAATCTCTTTAAACTGAAATGAAAGAGGACTATGTGAAGTACTATAATTTTACAGGAAAACCAAAAGTAATGTTCATTATGAGGCCCATGGTTCAGTCTTGCGTCATGTGATGCTTCGAGGAATGTCATCCCAAGTTGTGTCTGCAGCGGTAAGTTTTAGGTGAATGTTTATAAAACTACTATATGTGGGTAGGGTAATGCACTGAGACAGGTGATGAGTAAATCTAGTGGCATTACAAGGCTGCTCGTGTCATATATGAAGCTGTTTTTCTCAGCTGATGATATAGTGAATAATCATTTTTGTTTAGCTTTTCTAAGATTACAATTTCATATAAGCAACTATTTGAATACAAGCCCAAATCCATTTTTTTTCGCATACCTTTAGTTCTTCACTTTTGTCCGCTTTCACTATATACATGATTTGATGGAGTAAAGCATGATTTTTCAATTTTTAAAAATTGTAATCACGTTGTAGTCGTACACACTTATAAAATCAGTTATGCATTTTATCATCACATGCATATAACAATGATTTTTTTTTCAATTGTTTGGGAATTGTTTTTTTTTTTTATAAGAAAAATATAACATGTAAGATTTACTACTTTATAAAATTGGTCGTCTTTTTCTGATTAGATGCCATTTTATTGGTATGGGGCACCTCCCCTCCCCCCATTTTTAAGTATTAGGGCTTACCATGTAGTGTGCCATATTACTGTATATAATAACTTAAATATCTACATATTTCTGCTAATAGGATCGTGTAGATGCAGGAAAGCCAACTTCTATGGCTGTTTCTAAGTTCATCTCCATTGGTACTTCACATGGACTAATTCTTGTTTTTGGTGAGCAGTCATTTCTTTCAACCTTAATTATCTTTTGTAAAATGAAAACAAAATACTGTATAAGGGTTTAAAGGAAGTTGCTATATTCTTTGATTTAAACTAGCCACATTCACTCCAACTGTACGTATGCACGTACAGGTAGGTGTACAACTACAACTACAATTTTTACTATTGGCAATTTGAATAGCTTTTTTTATAACATAGTTTAACTACTGAATGTGTATGTTTGCTCTCAGATAAAATATAAAGTGTATTTTTCAGAAGTGCCTATTATGTTTTCTTAGAGATGAAATTCAGAGAAATTCAAAACAAGTGACATGCATTGCATTAAATTTAGCACATCTGTTATTGTCACTGCAACTTTTTTGTGCATAGTGAAAATAGCCTGTGCCAACAATTTGTTTTTGTTGATTTTTCTTTACTGTGAAGGTTATATTAAAACATCTTGTGTGAGTGTTGACAACACACTTATTCAAGGCAATGTCAGCTGATGTTCTTGCTGACACTGGTTTGGTCAATCACATGTTGTTATTCAGTGACATGTGCCCCCTATTGATAGTAGTTGAAAACCTCTGGGATGTCTCCTGGCCGGCCGTTGCACCCCCAGTAGATCATCATAATGTTTGGTAGCCACTTTCCTCATTGGTTTCTATTCATGTTTTTCATTTTTCATATAAACACTGCTTCTTGCCATGCTCTCTGACATTACCTTGAAAAAGTGTGTTGTCAACACACAAAACGCTGGGTTGTCGTTTTTAATATATCTTTCACAATAAAGAAAAATTAACAAAAATATTCTTTGGAAGGAGATGAATTTATTCAACTTAATCCTTAATTAGTTTTGGTATTTCTTTATTTCATATCATTTCTTTTTATTATTTCTCTTCTATTACTTTTATTTATTTCTAAAAAAATCTGCATGCAACTCTCTATTATTCCATATTCTCATTAAAACAAAATATGTCAATCAGTATTCTAATGAAACAGTTGCAATTCAAAATTCTGATGATTTTTAGATCCTAAGCAGGTGCTCAAGTGGTGTCTTGGAAGCAAGGCAGTTGGAGCACAGTATGGAGCTGTTACTGCCCTTAGTATTAATATGGATTGCTCTAGACTGTTGGCTGGCTTTGCCAAAGGACAGGTATGACATAATATTTCATTATCATGATAATCAACATCTTCATCTCATAAAAATCACCATCAACATCATGTCGTTGTCAGACCTGCCAACTCACCCGATCGTGTCGCGTGTCACCCGATATCTAAACAAATCTCCAGTTCTCCCGATCGAATGTAATTTTCACCCGATTTCACAGGTTCCCTCCGCAAAATACTCCTATTTATACATAAATGATTGATTAGATCGGTATTATTCAATGTATTTGCCGCGATAGACAAGCATCAATTTAATAAGTTGTTTTGCAGTAATTTTGTACCATGATTTTATACCACTATGATTTGTCTTGATGTGTCTTTTTTTAGTAAATTGCATCATATTTTGGTTAATTCAGGAAACCTCCAGATTTTTTGGTAAATCTCCAGTTTTTTTTTAAGATTTAAAAAAAAAATCTCCAGATTTTCATGGCCCAGGTGTTGGCAGGTCTGCGTTGTTGCAGTGTTTTGTAAAGGCCTCAGAACATACAAAATTACAGTACGTGTAGACCCAGAGATTACCTCGCCATCATAATTATGGTGATCCTCCTAATCACCATTGACATTGAAGACAAGTGAGTAAAGAAATAAAAAAAAAGTATTATGAGATATCCTTTTAAAATTTGTAAAACGTATCCTTCCAACTGTAGCTTGTTGGACATTGACATTTAGTGGGGCGGATATATGACATTTTTTGGTCAAGACGTGCACTTCTGGAAAGAAGCATGAAACATTGTCCTAGGTGGTTTTTTAGTATGCCAATTCCAAAAATTGCGGGAACCACGATGTCACTCCAACTGTTCCCACCGAAAATTAGAAAAATCAAAATGGCCGCCAAAAAACACAATTTTTGCAGTTTAAATGCTCTAAGTGTCCACATTACCATGATCTTGGTGTCAATACATACGGTATGTTCTTTGGTTCAAGGAATCCAGTAAAACATTATTAAAATACAATAACGTACATCTTTATCGTGAAAATGCAACTGAAATGAAACTACAATAATATCGTTATTGTAAAAATAAACTATACATGTATTTAAATTCCAAAATGGTCGACAAAACCAGGTTTTTGGTAATAAAATGGCTGTAAGTGCTCTGACCACCATAATCTTGGTTGTAATACCTATGCTTTCCGATCCTGGAATTCAGTAGACCACATATAAACTAGATTTGAACTCGTCACTGAGGACGAGTTAGGTGATCCGCCGTACTTTGACCCTCACGAAGCAAGCGCGTTTCTGATTGAAAAGTATTATATGCTAAAACATGCTCTATTTAAAGAGTAATTTTGAGCATTTTAAAAGAAATTTTAAAGGAAAAGAGTAATTTTGAGCATTTTAAGGACTTACGAATGTGTACACATACGTCTTAACATCCGTGCGCACGGTAGTATTAATACAATAGGCATTTTTCGTTTTGACTACGCGGCCAGTCTACTACGAACTGATAGAGCGTAACAGTCATCTGCGCATGCTCACAAACCTTGCTGGCTAAATCGGTGTTGTGATAGCTTCCGCGACAACCCCAATTTCTGAATTTGGCGTAGTGGCGACTACCCTAATATTGACCAATCAGATAACCGGATTCTTTGGCAAACTGCTGGTAATTTTTTTGTTGGCTGCAATTTTTATCGCATCCACGATCGGGCATTGTTCGTTCAATAATGAATTAATTATTAAAACAAGTGAGTAATTAAATGTTTTATGAAGGCCTATTTATACACATATAATAAATAAGGAATGAATAGTCACAACATAAAATTAGGTAAATCAGGGGATAGTTAAAAAAAGGGGCCTCCTAGGCTTAGGCCTAGGCTAGCCTAGCCTTGTCAGAGTGGATTTGGGGTAGGAGAAAACACATTATCTGGTACCGCTAGCTAGGGCATCTGCGACCATGATATCGTGAATCAAGCCTTGCTATATAAATACTTCTGTTTAAAATTGTTATGTACATTTATTTGTACATCATCGTTGCATTTGGCAAATTGCCTGACACCCCTCTTCTCCCGGTTCCCGACTCTTTGGACACCTAGGCTAGGCTATAGCGTAGGCCTAGATCCTAGCCAACAGCGAAACATCACTCAGTGTTTTCTGGAATCATTTTAGTTTGCATACAGTATTTGACTAAAGTATTTTTTCACATTTCTTTTTACAAATATAAAACAAGGAAACATTGTTCCCTGGTAATAAAACCATGGTCGACTAACTCCCCTCCGTAGGCCTCCGTACGTGTGCTGCGTCGCCGTAGTCGTTTAAAAAAAACGAAAACAGCTCTTAGTGTAGTTCGCGAACAGTGTCTCGGCGTTGCCGTCACGGTCCATTAGTTCGTAGTAGACTGGCCGCGTAGTCAAAACGAAAAATGCCTAGTGTCACAAACCCAACACATGTAACCGAAACGTGATTTCCAGCTTCAGTACGTGCTGTGTGCGAGGAAATGAGCGTACGGCTCGTCAATTTTGGAAAGTTTTGGAATATTCAAAATGACCTGAAACGTGCTTTAAATTATCTGAAAAGTGATATTAACAATTTAAAAATTTTTTTGTACGAATGCCTAAAACGACTTGCCTGACGACGGTAATGGCACATGAATTTAAACCTTGTCAAGTTTAATTTAAAACCCCCTGTTGGTTGGTAATGCCACATGAATTTTGCCTTTACAGTATACGAACTATCGGTCTGATAGTGTCGAAATACAGTCTGCCGCCCTCTATTTTCAATGTGTTTACATCTTTTAAGAAAGAAAGATGAGAAGGCTCCAAAAAAGCATTCTTTTTGACCATGATGACGTCATCAAAATAAAAAATAAAGGGACACGTCTGAAAGAGAATTGATTTAGCTATAACATACAAACAGGTGGGAGACAATCAATCAAGATAAACGAGTACGTTCAAACGAGTATAAAAAGTAATAACGTCATAAATAAAAATTCAATTTTTTCTTAATTCAAATGGCAATATGATGACGTCACAATGTCCGATCAGCCAATATGATCTATAAAATCGTATNNNNTACAACTCATGTGCTTTCAGAATATGTAATAAAAATTGGGGGTCACCTTTCATCCTATGGAGCTATAACTGATTAAAAATATTCATGGTTTTATGCATATATAAAAGTTGACGCACGCGTACGCGCATGTTAAGTCGCGCAAACGGAAAATTAAGGTACCTGACATTCAACGTTGACCTGAAGATTATGCTCACTTAATATGATTCAGAAATGACGAATGGTTAAGATGATATGGGCTCATCAACGTTTTGAGGAAAGAAAGATGTGGGGGTCAGAAAAAACAATTTTTTTGACCATGATGACGTCATCAAAATCTAAAAAGAAGTCAAATATATGAAAGAGAATTGTCTCAGCTATAACATACTGAAAGTTGGAAGACGATCGATCCAAGGATAAGCGAGATACGCTGAAATGCGTATTTTCAAAAATGACGTCATAACTATAAATCACTTTCTTTGAATTCAGATGCCAATATGATGACGTCACAATGTCCGATCAGCCATTATGATCTATAAAATCATATTTACAAAGCTTACCATGACTATTCCAGACCAAGCCAAATGTTCGCTGACAGCGATTGTGCGTAACTCGTGGCAATTTTTGAGATATCGTGCGAACAGAAAAGGGGAGAAAGAAAGAAGAATAAAGAAGTTGAAGATGATGATCCTGACAATAACAAGAGGTGATCCGTTAACGTTAGCGGATCACCAAATACTCTTAACATTTTATGTTAAAAATACAGTATAAATTGAAAATGAAAAATGGCCTCTGAAAACGGGGGCTCTAGGTTTACCGATTGTCTTTATCTTGAACAACAGCTGTTTTATATTGCATATTCCGGTGACACTAAACCTGAGGCCGAGGTGGGTGTGAACTCTCAAGCAAGTGGCCGTTCCCAAACTTTCCACCTATACTTTGTAGAAGAAATTACACCACCGCTGCCACAAGCTAAAGTGTAGCACCACAAACTAAACTAAATGTGACAAATACAGATGGATACAAATTTGTTCCTTAATCCTAACTCTCGTTTGAGTACATTTATTTGAGGAACTGATACTAAACATGCGAGGCTGAGGTAGGTGTGAACTCATAAGCATGAAGCCGTCGGCACTGCACAAAGGACTTTGAATCTGGTATGAAGAGATGCACACTGCCTTCAGTGTTTTGTAGCTACTAGTATCTGCATAAAGTCTTCGCTGCGAGGTTTATCCACCAATTGTTTTTGATTTCTCATAGTTTACACCAAAAGTTGCTGTAGGTAATATGAAAGGTTATTTTATTTCATAGGCTGTGTAAGATGTATCTCTTATTGGCGGATATCCTTTTCCCATGCACATCTTAGAACTCCTTGTCATTTTGTTCAAACCAGTCTTTGATTTTCCTTGTGGAGAACCCTTGGGATTCTTCTAAGGTCTGGCGGATAGCAGTTTTCAGGTGTGACAAAACAATTCTGATGCAGTGTAACTTGCATCCTAAAGCTTTGATTAAAGTTTTCACCTGGATGTCAGCTTTCATTGCAACTGATTGGAAGTTGCCAACCTGAAACTTTCAGTGTTTCGAGGATGTTGACCTTGCCATCTGTGGGGGTGTTCTGTACGAGGCTGATCAGATCAGTGTAAAACTTGCCCTTAGCATCAGCTTGAACGGTTGGGGAATAAATGCTGACAAAAGTAACATGATGCTTGCTTTGAAGTGAGGCACGTGAAGATGATGCGATCGGAGTGACCAGTTGTTGTATCATTGATTTTTAGGCAATTGAGTTTCTCATCCTAAAAGCACTCACAAGGCATTTTAGCTGTCTTTAACTTGAATGACCAGTTGAGAGTGTAGCCAGCTCTAAGTTCTTAAATGCTGCCTTCCTTCGCTAAGAGCGGCAATGTCAATATGAAATTGTGACCCAGTTCATGTACTAAAAAAAAAACCAAACTAGATTTGAACTCGTCACTGAGGACGAGTTAGATGATCCGCCGTACTTTGACCCTCACGAAGCACGCACGGTTCTGATTGAAAGTATTATATGCTAAAACATGCTCTATTTAAAGAGTAATTTTGAGCATTTTTTTAAAATGAATTTTTAAGGAAAAGAGTAATTTTGAGCATTTTAAGGATTTACGAATGTGTACACATACGTCTTAACGTCCGTGCGCACGGTAGTATTAATACAGTGTCAGAAACCCAACACATGTAACCGAAACGTAATTTCCAGCTTCAGTACGTGCTGTGGGCGTGGAAATGAGACGGCTCGTCAATTTTGGAAAGTTTTGGAATATTCAAAATGACCTGAAACGTGCTTTAAATTATCTGAAAAGTGATATTAACAATTTTAAAATTTTAACGCACAAGTACGAATACCTTATACGACGTGCCTGACGACTGTAATGGCACATGAATTTAAACCTTGTCAAGTATAATTTAAAACCCCCTGTTGGTTGGTAATGCCACACAAATTTTGCCTTTACAGTATACGAACTATGGGTCTGATAGTGTCGAAATACAGTCTGCCGCCCTCTATTTTCAATGTGTTTACATCTTTTAAGAAAGAAAGATGAGAAGGCTCCAAAAAAGCATTCTTTTTTACCATGATGACGTCATCAAAATAAAAAATAAAGGGACACGTCTGAAAGAGAATTGATTTAGCTATAACATACTCACAGGTGGGAGACAATCAATCAAGATAAGCGAGTACGTTCAAACGAGTATAAAAAGTAATAACGTCATAAATAAAAATTCAATTTTTTCTTAATTTAAATGGCAATAGGATGACGTCACAATGTCCGATCAGCCAATATGATCTATAAAATCGTATCTACAACTCATGTGCTTTCAGAATATGTAATAAAAATTGGGGGGTCACCTTTCATCCTATGGAGCTATGATGACGTCATCAAAATGTAAAAAGAAGTCAAATATATGAAAGACAATTGTCTCAGCTATAACATACTCAAAGTTGGACGACGATCGATCAAGGATAAGCGAGATACGCTGAAATGCGTATTTTAAAAAATGACGTCATAGCTATAATTCACTTTCTTTGAATTCAGATGCCAATATTATGACGTCACAATGTCCGATCAGCCATTATGATCTATAAAATCATATTTACAACTTATGTGCTTTCAGAATATGTAATAAAAATTGGGGGTCACCTTTCAACCTAAAGAGCTATAACTGATTAAAAATAGGTCTGATTTTAGCATATTTTCACTGTATATCGGCACAAATCCGTGCAGATACCAATATTTGATGCGCACGTACGGCATTGCTATTGGCCAAAAGATGACCGAAAAGAATGGAAGTTTGTGAAAACAATGTCAGGAACCAAAACTATGTGAAAAAACATAGTGTCTAGCTTCCGTACGTGCTGCGCGCGTAAAAATGCGCGCGCGTAGTGAAAAATTTAAAAAGAAATTGAAATGCTCAAAATGGCCTATAACGTGCTCTAATTTAGTTAAAAAGTGATTTCAAGCATTTTGAAATTTTACGCACGCGTGCGCTCGCGTTATGAAGCGCACGCGTACAATTAGGGTACAGTACATTTAACATTAATCCGAAGTTAATGCTCACTTAATACGATTTCGAAATGGCAATTGGTTAGGCTGATATGATCGATTATGTAAAAACGCAAAATTGCGCGTAGATGACGTCACGCATGACTGAGCGCATTGAAAAGCTTACCATGACTATTCCAGACCAAGCCAAATGTTCGCTGACAGCGATTGTTCGTAACTCGTGGCATTTTTTGAGATATCGTGCGAACAGAAAAGGGGAGAAAGAAAGAAGAATAAAAAAAAAAAGAAGATGATGATGATGATCCTGACAATAACAAGAGGTGATCCGCTAGTGTAGCGGATCACCAAAAAAAAACAATATCTAATACATCAAGCATAGTTATAGCTATTCCAGCATGCAAGCTTTAGCTTTTGTACTCCATTTGAGGCATGCGTCTGCCTTTCTGTAAGTGCTCGATGACCTGTTGGCTGCAGTCAGCAACTGGAAGGAATGGAAAAGAGCTTTGGTAAGGCCTTCGTTTCTACGCCTTGCATTATGTGGCCGTTTGCTGTTTTATGGGTTTTCCCATTTGCCTTTTAAAATTTATATATATATATATATATATATATATATATATATAGTATAGTGTAGTAGTATATATAATATATATAGTATATATAGTATATATCACAGTCATTTTAATACTAAATATGTGATTTTTGGTGGCCATTTTGAATATTTATTTTGCATTTTCACATTAAAGATGTATGCTATGGTGTTTTACATACATTCTATTTGAGTCCTTGAAATAAAGAGCATAGGTATTAATACCAAGGTAATATGTACACTAAAAGCCTTCAAACTGCCAAAATTGTGTTTTTTGGCGGCCATTTTGATTTTTCCATTTTTTGGGGGGAAGGGGTTGAGAGACATCATGGTTCACCCAATTTTTGAAATTAGCATACTCAAAAACCCCCTAGAACAAAAGTTTCATGCTTATTTCCAGAAGTGCACGCCCAAGTCACATATTTGCCCCACTAATTAGTAAAAGGAGAAAAAAATATTTAGAATATGCAGCAGAAAATGGATTAAAACCACAAAAGTACTAAAGATCTCTTGATAATCAATACAAGTATCATACGGCTGTTCCCCCCCCCCCGAAAATCGAACATATTTTACATGCTAAATTGATCTGTTTTCCATTAATTGTTAGTTATTAAAACTTCAATCATTTTAAGCTGTTGCCGCTTTACCCAACATCGCTGTAAAAGTCAACAAGTGACTCATACATTTGGCAATGCAGAAATTTAACAAATGACTCATGTTTACATTGCATAACGGTACTTTGTGTAGTTTATTTTACATGTGACTCAACTCACATTCCTCACTATTGTTCAGACATGTGGTAAAGTCAACAAGCGACTAATGTTTAATCACTGTTTCAGGTTTTGTTTTTTTTTAAATACAGTAAATTAAATTGTATTGTAAGATACGTACAGTAATTGTAAAATAAATGTCTTAAGGACTTTAGGTACAGGGAATAACCAGTCATATAAAACAAATATTCCAGTTTTATCTTCATTTCGATGTCAAACTATCTACAGAGCATCGCCTGCTCTACTCGCGTTACAGCAAGAAGCAAGCACGTGCATGAGTAGTGGGCGGCGGCGTGGTATACACATCTGGTTTACTTACAAGTAATGCACGTGTTGCAACATATATATAATAGACTTTCACCTAGTAGGTATTGGTTTGGTCTTTGGGATTTTCCAACCGAAATTGTCATAATAAAACGTGTTCGCTTGATGGCCATGCAAAAATCCGTTATTAATTGTTAGTACAGTACTGTACAGTATGATTAAGCTATAATTTAAGTATTGACTGACTCCTCTTTATACTGTATTTTAAAAAATGGCATGGAAGCAGTTAACAAAACATTTAAATATACTGTGCTGTAATAATTGAAGAATTAATGTAATGATGTATTGCTGCTCTGAAGAATACTGCTTTTAGTGTAAGTTTATAGCCTAGGCCTTTCTTCTACAGTACTAGGCCAAATGTGCAGTCAACATCTTGCGTGTACCTTCAGTGCGTGTTAATTTGTTCCGGTCTCGTAAGGCCTAACTCAGAATAAAATTCGACTTTGCTTGAACTGTATCTCAGTGGCACTTTAGATTTTAAATTTTCATGTTTAAATTCAAAATAAGGCTCCTGAACATTCAAAACGTTGGAACATCCATACCCTGTTGTGGTAAGTTAACAGCTCTCAGCACACCCCCACCCACTAGCCACAACTTTGATGCTTCACGTTGAAGGGCCTGGCAATTAATTTTGCACTGCAGGGCCCGTTCTCACCTACTGTAGCTATGCCACTACTCTGGGGTAGGATTCGACTCGCAACAGTGAAGTGTTTCGGTCTTGGATCGTTTAACGTTCTGGTACGACACTTTTTTTATGAAGCTTAAACATTACGATTAAAAAAAAATTGTGAGTAAATGCTTTAGTGAAACTGTCCTATGAGTTTTTTGCATTTCTTAGCTTGTATTGCCTGCTGTAATGCTAATAAGTACAACCAATGACTGAACCATGTCCTAAAGACATAAGATCATAGATATTCGATTTTTTGGTGCATTACATCTATCAAAAATACAAACCTTAAGCAATTAAAACAGAGTTGGCTACTGCATCATTGATGATGTTACCATTTTCATTGTTGTTGTAGTCTTCCTAGTCATTGTCATCGCTGCTGCCATCGTCAACAACAAGAGGATCACATTAGTCATTATCAAACAATGTTGTATTGCTCATTTTAATTTTAATAAAGACCTTCTTGAATAGAAGGACCCACATGTTTGCAAAAAAATGTTTGAAATCCCCCTAAATTCACCGAATTGTTTGAACCTAATGCCAAAATAACACCAAATGCAACTATGCACTAGGCATATGTATGCGCTTAAGCATTAGCGGACTAAGTAGTATATGACATTGCATTGCTTCCTGGTGCCTCATTGAACTGAATGATGTCCATTGACAATAATAATTATTTTAATAATAACTGTAATAATGACAATAATAATAGTTATTTATAATAGATTTTAATACTGTAACAGCAAAAGTTTCCTTGATCCAATTTTAATGTTTCTATGTTCTTTTTAATGTTCTTTTAGTGTCTTAATTTTATTGTATATTGTTTCCATGTCCCTTAATAGTAGTAAAATAAGTAGTTTTTACATATACTTTGTGTATCATTGTATAACAAAATTAACAACACTGAATTTTGAACCACTCATTTGATTTGAACTTAAGATGACTATGTGGGACTTGACCACTGGTAAACTGTTGCGTACCATCACTGATGCCCATCCTGCTGGCTCAGCTGTCCTTCACATCAAGTTCACTGATGACCCCACACTCGCCATCTGCAGTGATAGTGGTGGATCTGTGTTCGAACTTAGCTTCAAGTAAGTTTACAGATTGTAGTATATTCCCAATTTGTTTTGCTCTATGAAATGTCTCAATTCCTGGATCATGGGTGCAATAATGCTGAACACAAATAAATAATATAAATCCTCCTAATCACCAAGTAGGTAATGGATATGCTGCAAATCCATACCAGCAAACAGAAATTGTGATCTTTTCCTCACAACACACTTTAGTTTTGAATGTGTAAGTAGCATCCTCAAGTTCAGTTTCATTCCGTTGCGATGTTGAGTACACAAACATGCAGTCACACAAAATTAAACTACATGTTGCGATTAGAGAAAAATTCTGAAAAACTATGTCATGGAATATAGCCAGTATAGACCGGTTGGATTTGGAGGAAGGTGTCACATTTTTGCAGAATTTACCAGACCAACTTTTTCTAATGTATTTTTTCACGTAGATTACGAATCTGATTGTTGATCGGTCCGTGGAGGGGGATTTTTCGAGATATGTGGGGTCAAAAGTCAAATCTGGCATATTTAAGGAAAGGGATCACAAAAGTGAATTAGTGTACCAAAATAATATTTTCTAATGTAATTTAGGTCATAGATTTCAAAAATGACAGTAAATTGGACAGCTATGGAGTCATTCAAAAGTTATTGGTGTCAAAGGTCAAATAAGACATAATCTGGGAAAGGGTGTTGCCTGTGTGATAAATGTGGGGCATAGAATGGGAATCTGATTGTTGATTGGTCAAGGGAGGGGTATATTTCGAGATATGAGGGGTCAAAGGTCAAATTCGGCATATTTAAGAAAGGGGTCCTAAAAGTACAAGTTTACGAAAATAATGTTTTCAATGTAATTTAGGTTATATATTTGAGAAAAAATGACAGTTGGACAGGTGTGGGGTTCGTTTCAAAGTTATTGGGGTCAAACTTCAAATAAAATATAATCTGGGAAGTGGTATTACAGGTGTGTGTGATAAATACCAAAATAGTGTTTTACAATGTAATTTTGATCGTAGATGTTTAAAACTTTAATGTGAAGTACCTTAAAATTCATCCTCACTCTCCGACATTTCATCCTCTATGTCTACTTCTAATGATTTGTCGTCAATTTCACTTTCACTGTCACTGGAACCTTCTTGTTTCAGTAAGTAATTCGATCAGATCATCTGACATCACAACATTTGTCCAAAGAATTTCGCTGTCAGCGGTCCACCCATGATTCTGTGGATTAGGAGCATCAATTATGAGGACACACGATTGCCTCCATAAACGGCAGACATAATTGGCTCTTTGTATGTGTAGATACAGGCATTCTTTACAGGGTGGTAAGAAGGAAAGGTCTACAAATTAACACTTTTTTTATATTTTTCCCAAAACAGATGTTGCTTTGCAGCTTGTACGTTTTTTATTTTCTTAAGTCCATACAGCTTGCACACAAGCTCTTCTAAGTTGTTGTAAAGTCCATCGGTTGCAATCCAACTTTTTCCAAGTGCTACGAATGTGTTATTAAATCTTGGAAAGTTCTTCAGCACTTTCCAACACGCCATTTTCCCTTTCCTGGAAAATGTCGACACATATTCATTACCTGTAAAAGAATGTAGACCGAGGAGAGCTTCTTAAATTTCTTTGGACGTGTCGCTTTCTTTGAGATCATAGATTTTCCTGCTGTTTCCATGCCCATTGTCAACCATAATCTGGTCACATTCAGCAAAGAGTGCCAATAGAATAACTATTATATCAGTATCACCTGAAGGGGATCGTACGATAATTGTTCCTGGGTTGATTGCAATTGCATGCTTAATGTGCAATGCAATTATCGTGTCTGCTTCTTCCTGATCAGATGCCAGCTCATCCACACAGCATACGTTCTCGTTGGACAACTTAAAACATTCATTTTTCTTTGAAAAATAAATGCAATTCCCTTTGGGAATAATATCCTTATGTTCCTTCCATACATCCAGTATGGGATCAGTCATACGATCTTTGTTTGACCCATTTATCAAGAAGCTTGAAAAATTCCTTGGTATTTTAGTGTTTTACCGAATTTATGAAAAAAGGAGCACTTGTCCCACGGTCGTTCCGTTTCCCACTTTTAATAGACTTTATTTCGTATGCATCAACAATCACATCTATGCGACTGTACTTCTTAGGCAACTGATTTAACAGCCTTATCCCCAGCTCCTTAAATGTGAATAATCGAATATGTGGCCATCAGATCGACAATGTATGCAGAAACCTCTGATGCAATCCGGAGTAATAGATAATTGGAGTGTATTCCTCTACTACATTCAAGAGCTTGCTCCTTACTGTAGTTCTTCTCGTCCCATCAGCATTAGACAGTATGTTAATGCCTTGTTGAAGTAAATATTTGAACCTTGACGGTTTGCGTTAGCGAGCAGCTTTCCAAAAATATCTCTCTCAAAAAATTTAACAATTCTACCCTTAGCCAATACCTTCTTCTTTAAAGAATTCAGTCAAGAATTAATTTTGTTCCCGCTTCAATAATGAGAAGAATGTGGTTGTAGAGGTTTCTAATCTGTATTCTATCAGCTTGTAGTATTTTGAGAACAAACTTCACCTTTTTCTCAGATCTGATAATCCGAGAGGGCCTACAATCCTTTTTCTCACTGTTTGAGAACATCAATCCTGTAAGTTCTAAAAGGGCATCCTTGAATTTTGAGACATGTGGTCGATTAAACACCTATCTTTCATATGCTGACATCTACGATCAAAATTACATTGTAAAACATTATTTTGGTATACGTAGGAATATTTCCAACCCCTTCTTATACTTTGACCTTTCCTATATTAAAATCATCTCCCTGGCTCGATTAACAACTAAATTTTCTCCCTGGTCCGATTAACAACCAAATTTAGATTCTGAGCCAAAAAAATATGTCAAAAATGTTTCTTCTGTACATTTATCACACTCACCTGTAATACCACTTCCCAGATTATATTTTATTTGAACTTTGACCCATAACTTTTGAACGAACCCCACACCTGTCCAACTGTCATTCTTTCTCGAATCTATGACCTAAATTACATTGAAAACATTATTTTTGTAAAATAGTGCATTTTTGGGACCCCCTTCCTAAATATGCCGAATTTGACCTTTGAATCCTCACATCTCGAAAAATACCCCTCACTGGACCAATCAACAATCAAATTCGGATTCTACGCCCAAAAATATGTCAAAAATGTTTCTTTTTTCACATTTATCACACAGGCAACATCCTTTCAGAGATTATGTCTTATTTGACCTTTGACACCAATAACTTTTGAACGACTCCATAGCTGTCCAATTTACTTATACATACGTGCGCATACACATACTTACACGTATATGAATATATAAACATACATAAAACAATCGTGCATAGAAATATATACACGCATCATCATTAAATACACATACATATACAATTTGTTTATTATATATTTATTTATTTTTTTTTTTACGGGGATAATACCCATAAAAACAACAGATATACAGGGTCTGTCAATCTCGGCTGCTATACAACACATATACAAACACCTGCATAATACAGGGGTCAGTCCAAACATGGCTGACAATCATTTCTTTACAACAAGTATCTTCTATTATATTCAATTTCAAACAAGGTCGTAGTGGAATCAAGCATCCATTCACCATAAAACAATAACGTACATGCTTTAGCAATACAGAAGGTACCAAGGCTTAGCATGTCATTTATAAACCTCGACTTGGTACCAAGTATAATATTGGATAACGTGGGTACTCTATCCAAATTAAATTTTTTTTTCATGAAACGCCACACAGTTTTAGCGTTCTCGCAGTAATAGAAGTAGTGTATTTCATCATCTACAACTTTACATTTAGTACGCAAATTGTTGCTGACAATTTTCCATTTGTATAATTGCATTCTTGTAGGTATAATCATGTGTAAGAGTTTAAAATTCAATTGCTTAATTCTATTTTCTTTAATCATAGAAATTCTTCTGTGCCAAACTTTTTCCAGTCAATTTGTCGTTCGTCAAGTATAGCTTCCCATTTACTTTGAATCTTTATGGGAAGTTGTATTCTATTTTTTTCTAGCAAATTATACAATTGTCTTGTTGTCATACTTAACGATAAGTTTTTATTCAAATTCTTATCTTCATTTATACATATGCTATGCTTATATATAATACTCTTCCATTCCTTAGGAATGGCATTAATTATTCTAGTTAGGCCATGGGCTGGAGGGGGGGTCACCGTGCACCCCCCACCCACAGTTAAACTTCCTTGGTATCATTTTGTTCCTACGGGCATATAAAACGAAAAAATTGATGTTAACAAGAAAAATATAGGGATGCATTGTATATACTCGCGTCATTTGTAATGGTCATTAGTGTTTTATGGTCTATACTTTTTTGGGGGAGAGGGGTAACATTTATGCCCATAACCTGTGAATTAAAAATCCCATCAATGTTATTTTGGTAGCAATGTATAGCATATATGTTTCTTAATCATATGCAGTTTAAATAAAATTATTCCAACAATTTTTAATGTCACTAGAGGTCAAAAGGTTATCGACCTTTTTCTAAAATGCAAATTTTTTCATAAAATATCAATAAACTTCAGGGTCATATGTCTAATTTTGGGTGCATTTGATACAAATTGTGTTTTTCTTGTAGTTATTAACATATGGAATACAAAAATTGAGGTTAACAA